TATTGCCGACCCAGCTTGCAAATAACTTCTGCAGCGTCGCAAATGGATTAAACGACTATCGCGCAACAGATGTTGCATTCAGACGAGGAGGACCATCTTCCTTTTACTCACGATAAATCTATCGTGCATTAAGTGGGTGTTACGCGTGGGGTCGAACACGATTATTAACCGATTACGCACTTTCGCACTGGTGGGCAGTTCCGCGCGATAGGCGAAATCACAAGGGGCACAATAAAAAATTGGGGACGATGTGATAAAGAGACTACGCAAAAAGTACCCATGTGCCTCTACAAATGCTACTTAGTTCTCAATAAACACACTCGATTAAATTCATTGATATTAAACGATCGTAAATGATTGATTGAAACGAGTTAGGAAGATTTTCCGATATAAAAATAAATTTTACAGAATAAAGTTATTAAAATTTAATGTGTTGATTTAAAGTATTAAAAATATTAAATTCTTAAAACATTTATTTTAAAATTTATTTAAGTTATCATATTTTGTACTGTTAAAATTTGTTTATTGCTTTCTATTTTCAAAGCACTAATTTGAAATTGTACTCTTATTAGAATACCTAATTATCTGATACTATATGCAATATTGTTTCGACTAAATCTCATTTTGAGAATAGATGGCAAATTTAGTTCGATAATTGTGAGCCTTTGTATTTTTAAAAACACTTAAAGTATTACGAAAAGAATGTTTTGACTATGCAATACATCAGATGCTAGACAGCATCGTCGCTTTGATCATCGTGATTATGATGGAAAGTTGTATCCCGTTTGTAGATGTACTAAAAGAATACAGCGAACTAACAAGCATAACCGCCTTGTGCTGATTTGCGCTTTTGCAATCAGATTTTGAAACTGATTTGCCGATCGCGATTCGTGACACGACTACAGTGATATCAAAGATTCACTTTGACCGGATGTGAATACTGTAACCATTCAACGAACACTCTCAGAGATATTAATGTAATTATTATGTTAAGATGTAAATTTAGAAAAGAATCACATCAACACTATTGTCTAATAAAATGAGAAGAATATTCATAAGATGCATAAAATGCTCGTAAATAAAAACTGAATTTTATTTATAAAAATAAAAATTATATCAATAAATTATATTGTAAAATAAAAAAAAATAAAACCTTTTAAATTAAAATTGAGACTATTGAGTTTTCAATTATTTCTTTAATTTAGATTCGAAAGTATTTTCTATCTTAATTTTCTAATCTGTGATTAGAACAATTAATTGAACGTTGAATGGCAAAGTGTACCGTGAATAAGATTCTATTTTCCTTCACATTGAATTACAATTTCAATCGCAAGATTTTTGCTACTTTCACGGTCGATCGTTAAAATTCCTCAGAGCGCGTTACACTCAATGTTGGACGCTAAATAACAATTGCTCGCGACCGTACCTTGAATTCGCGAAGTAAAAATAGCGGTTTCTAAACGATGGGATTTCTTTTTCAGCTGATCAGAATCGGCTGTGATTTCACGAGTCGCGATTGCCGTCGCGTCGTTATAGGTGGCGACATATAATGCCTCGTTCTTATTCCTGGCATGACTTCTTTGCCTTTTCCGCCGATGGTGTGTCATGTAATTGGGTTACGAGAACGTTCGTATAGGTCGTTACGAGCCTTGACGATTCCTCGACATTATCCTGTCCCACCGCATGCCATCGTGACTTTAACAACGTTTCGTACTTTGATCACAGTTCGACGGGCTATTTTTCGACGCTTATCTCACTCGACTCCAGCCTTTATTACAGCCTTTATTCTTATCAACGGCTGCAGTACGCGTATTATCTAACGTCACGAATATTTGCGCGTATAATACTCGCTGGAAAGAGATCGAGACGATTTGAAATGGCTGCGAACTGACCTGACTTTAAGATAAATTAGTCTCGATTACTATCTTGAGATACACCGCTACGATAGCGCGTCTTCTTGAAATAGTTAGATGAGCATAATTTTCATCGCCATTAAACTTACGGCGGCATTCAATTGATCACTCTCTTCGTCGAACAACTCCGTCGTGTAATTACTTGATGCTCCATATACCGTTCGCTCGTCGTGCAGGATCGAAACGTGGATCGCGTTCAATAATAAATCGCCAATAACTTTGTTCCAGTTCCGTCAAGATGACCCAAATAATATGCTTTTTCGACCATCGCGGCAATAATCGGTGACAATTATGACAGCGTGTAGGTAACGCAATGGGGGTCAATGGGCCGCGAAAAAGATTTAAAAAAAGGAAAAAAAGAAAAACTGGGAGAAGATACGAGAGATATGTACGTTTTTGGATAATGACCATCCGCTCGAACGTATCCCATATGAAACAGATAATTGAAGTAGGTGCAACGTGATTAATTAATGTCCTGCACAATCGATCGTTGGACCCGGCCAACCGGCTTTTATATCTCGTTGATCGTTCGCCGTGAAACTGATTAATTAAGTAACAACTGTCTGGATCATCGACGAGCCTTTATTGTGCCCTGAAACTGTCTGCGTTACGCGCAGACCTCGGGAGAAAGTTTAGTCTGTCGCAAGCGGGAAAAACAATCGCGGATAACGTCGATTTCGTTCGCAATAAATTTTCCACGACGAAGGAGACCGGTCGAGGAGAGGACCAACGTATTATTATCACGCTAAATTGCGACTCCATCGCGTAATGCTTCATAACGTTTAATATGATCGTCCCCGTTTAATTGCTATACACCAAATTTCACGTAATTGCACGTAATTAACCTAACGAAAATGTATGCTGTCTGGTCAGAGTTTTTATTTTATTTTTTCATCATTCTTTCAATATTATCGAGTTTGCTTGCAGTTTGCAGTGCAACTGTGTAAACGGATATTAATATACCTAGTAATTATCGTCGACAAATTGAACACGTACTTTCGCTTTATGTTATTTCTATGAAAATAAAATTGTAATTATATGAAAAATTTTCAAAAGTAAGCACTTTCCGCGTAAATAATTAATATATGTGTAAGAGAAAAAAATTTACGATAAATTGCAGGTAATGAATTCAATTAACCGATGGAAAATTAAAGCAAGATTGGAAAAACCGTACAGTATCAGTAACTTTAAGAAAGTTTCGAGAAATCATGAGAAAACTACGAGTTTGCAGGTCGAGAATACAAGTTTCATCAATATTCGTTATCAAAGAACGGAAGTGAGTGCTCGCAGACATCAATCGTTGTCGTGCTATTGATCGAAGAAAGGACATCGGTACGCACTTACTTAATGGAGATTCAAGTTTCACTCGTTGTAAGAGAGTGTTAGTCAATTCTTCATTATTCGGCTGAGCTGGTGGTAGGTGTACGACTCTAATTGCGGAACTTATTCAAGAAGACGGCTCCTATATCCGTAAATTAATGACCACGATCGAATCGGCTCATTACACAGCGCCGGAGAGATTCTAATTAACTAGGTGGTCCGTGTCAAGAGGAAAATAATTGCCGCTATTTACCGCGCACCTACCAGTTCTCCAACTATTCTAATTTACGCGCCGTGCTCGGTAAGTCGAGAACTATGTCTGTTTGTTCGAAGAACATCTCAGCAGGCGGCGCCACGCGATTAGTGCTTTGACTTACCGATTAAAGAGAAAATCCTGACAAATGTGTATAAATTTAGCGCAAACTGGCAAAAATAATTTTTGCACAAAAAATTATTTCAGTATGGAAATGTGTTGTAAAAAGACGATACAGGTTTGGAAAATGTTACATAGAAAAAATCAATTATCGACAGAGAAGAGAAAGATCAGGTTCGTAGTTGCCTATCTAACTGCAAGCTAAGCAAGTAGATAAAACAGTGATCTGTTACATAGTTATCAATGCACTGCGATAATTATTTATAATTTATATAAATTTAAAAAAAGAAATTTATGTGGCTTGATTTTTACCAGAATTAATTTCAAAGTTTAATCAACAATTTCAACAATTATCTCTTTGTCTTACAATCAGAGAAACGAACAACATGAAGAAAAATTAATAATAAATTTATTATTTTATTCTACCATTGCATCATTCTAAGTAATGAAACGATTAATGTAACTGCAGTCGAGCGAAATATGGAAAGAAGTAAAAGCATACTCTGTAACCATTTTTACGAACATTTCCAATGAAATAATTTAACATGTATGTACGTGTTTGTTTTTCCTAAGAAACAAATGATGCTTAACAATTTGCATACTACAAATTGACGTACAAATGCATCGTCGAACGAAATCACGTCGGTTATATTTTTCAAACAAGTATCATATCAACCTGCGCTGACGATGCACGTATCACATAAATCACGTAGCACCGCCTTCGAGGAACAGTGATAATTAATGCAAACGAATGACCGGGCACATCTCATAAAGATCACCGTCTTCAAGCGTAACTTTACTTCCACGAATTAACCAGCGAGAGATAAATCCCTCCAAATCCGACAGAGAAATAAAATCCTTCCCTTGATCATACATGCAGTTATTTTAATTTGCGCGAACATTTCGCAGGAATAAATATATAGCTAAAGTTATCTCTTGGTGAACGTCTTCATCGCTTCTGTCTTTTACCGTCCTCTATTCTGTATATTTTAAGGACAGACTTTCGATCTGACCATATTAAGTCTACAGATGCAAGAGAAATAATCATTTTTCTCGTCTCCCTCTCTTTCGATTTCGTCACGACTTCTTCCGCGTTAGTTGTTCAACTTCGTTGGCAGATAAATAATAAAAAAAAAAGGTGGAAGAGTGCGCGCACTCTTGGCAGGGGTCTTTGCAACAGTTTGCCTGTCACAAAGGAATCTTTTATTATCTCGCGCTTATTGCAATCACCTTTTGAGCACTCGACGGAATTTCTTTCGCATCGAAGCGTGACGGGCGGCTCAATGGGTCGCGAAAAAAAGTGAAATCGTCTCTTAGGAGAGCAACTCAATTCTTGAGACTCTCCTTTCAATTCCATTAACTGCTATAGGACAATCAACATGTGCGTTACTTACCATCGACGTGAAGTAAAACTTCTCAAATTCGCGCTCGTGAAGCCTCGCTGATGCTAAGTTCGTCGCTGCGTGCTGTGCGTGTTTCGACAGAATGTCCTCGCCCTTCTTGCAAAGCCACGATAATATCTGTAATAAAAAAGTTGAAACAATATTCTTAATCTTCGTCCAATATTATCGGCAGTCAAAGGTTTTTAAAACTTAATTAAAGGGAAATTTTTTAAAGTTTAGTCAGCGAAACAGTGTACATTTTAAATGATTAATCCAAATCAGTCTTGATAATTTCAAAAATGAGAAAATATTCAGCACATTCAAGAATTATTTCTATCTTTTTGCGATTATTTCTTTCGACGTTAATTTCGGAAATAAAAGTGATGAAATCACACAAGCAGAGAAATGTCAGTTGTCAGTTGATGGTCTGCGCCTTTCATTCGCGCTTTATTTCGCTTGCTTTGCTTCCGTATTCTTGAATGAGCTGTCGAGTAAGTCGCAGACAAAACTAAGTGCACATCAAATGACGCTTTAAAGCGTAACCGGTCCTGAAAGAGTTTTTATATTATGCATAATAGTAATCACTTATACTCTCTTTCTCCCTCGAAAGTTCGCAGAACTTTCTTCTAAATACATTCGTGAATCGAAAGCATATTTAAAAGCTTCTCTCTTAATAATAATTATACCCGCTATTTTTGCATCGTTAACATCAAACGTTAAGTATGTATTGGGGAGGGTAGAAAAATGGGGCTCTTGTAAAACGATGGGCGGACTTATATATCGAGCAACGGTTAAAACGTGAGACCATCCTCACGTGAAACGATGCACACAGTTTCGCCGGACATGGTGAGAACGTTGTGTCGGTATTTAGTACAGCTGGACAGTGAATAATCGCCGCGCATCCGAATTCGCCAGATAATTAAGGCTCTCCGATGCGGCTGTCCCTGACTTGGCAGCCGCGGGAGAGTTATTTATGGTAGTTACACGGGGATACACACATCCGTGGATTATGGAAGATATATAGCGTGTCGCTCCATTTCAATATAGATATAATACGGCAACTCGCCGATCAATGACTCCCGCCGTGATTAGTCATGTCTTACGCAATTTCTCTGCAAGACGATTTCTACCGATGCGATGCTCGCGATATTTCTCTTGTTACGCAATCGCACCGATCCTCATTATGACATAATCGTGATGGCAGAACAGGAGCGATTCTTTGATAACGATCGGGCCATATCAAACGCAATGCTCTCGTTCAGGATTGCCACATTTTCCGTCATGCTCCAGAACCTTCGAACAAACGATAGATGTATCGCGTTCGAGGTATTATTGCTTATGACTTATGACGACTTAATGCTTGCTTGATCGACGTATTAATCGTCTATACGATGCTTCGAACAGTATACATTTACAACGCGTTGAATAGTTAGACTAAAAAGAAAATTACTAAATTTCATAGATTTAATATTAAAATGTCAAAATAAATTATAGATATTTATTTCTGCGATATATGTATTTACGTAAACGAGGAAATAGTAAAAATCAAAATATTGTACGATATAGAACGTCAAATGTCTGTAATCTGCAAGCATTACAAATTGTAAAATTGGACCATTTAATTGTATTTATCTGTTTATCTTAATTAAAAATTAACCTCATCTAATTTAGCTTATAAATAATCATTGGCTCGATGCCACTGCGTTTCCTGCGTCGCGATAGTTTCACCTGTCACACACATGCCATCGAAGGCCGTAGTCTCCTCGAAGGAAAACAAGTACGTGTGCATCGAAGATCTTGCTGATAATTAGACCGCCTCTATGTGTACATCGCGTGTGATAAATTGCTAATCGTCATGACATACCGGCGGGCAAAAAATATGCGAGGTTAATTAATAGCAGCAGCCGAGGACTAGAAGGCATTGCGAAGAGAAGAACACGAGGACGAGCCAGGAAAATTATTGAAAGAGGAAAGAGAGAAGAAAGTGTAAGAAAATAAAATTTTGCTATGAAAGGCTGCGACTAAAATTAAATCTATAGATCAAATCTCTCTCTCTCTCTCTCTCTCTCTCTCTCTCTCTCTCTCTCTATCTCTATCTCTCTGTACAATAAAAACATTATCTATCTCATAAAATTATTTAAAAAGACTATATAATATATTTCCTGAGTTAGTAACTTCGCCCTGATATTTTTCTCTTCTATGCTTCTTAAGAAGGATCCAAAAAGGAATTTATTAAGATAAAAATCTTAAATTGAGATTTGTTTTAATTACTTGATATCGGAAAGAAAATTTGTGCACAATTAATTAATTCAATAAAAATCAATTTTCCTTAAAATTGATGCACTATATTAGTTGAAATTTATATTTGCGTTTCATCTATTTTTAATATAAAATATAGTCTTACAAATTAAATTATTGTTTTTAAATCTCAAAAGACTTCTTATCGAAAGACTAAAACATACATACATACACAGTATCAGATCTTATTCAAAGATACAATCTAAAGATATTAAAAGAGATGACAATCAAATTGAATGTGGACTTCATCAATCATATGTTCATTTATAGATATAAAATAAGTATGGACATAAGTACGAGCGTCAGAAGCGAGAAAGAAAGCGACACCGCCTCCGTCGGGTAGACCTCGCCAAAGAGCACGATTGGGCCCGAGGAGAAACGGAAACCACTTCGATCATAAGCAAACAGTGCTTTATTTGGGTCACTGGGCCGCGTTAGGTGAACCGACGATCGAATGTCGTGCATACGGCTCTACAACACGCGGCTCTTTCGAATGTGTAAACCATTTGTGGGATCGTGATATAGGAACGGGTAGCAAATTTCGCGTATCGACTTTGATCTTGCACAGTAGAATTTATCTCACGCATAGATCGTGCCAGAGAAGCACGCACACCGATTTCTAGATAAATATGCGAAAAACGGACACGCGGATGTGCATTGTATAGATTAGAGTGGTATTTGTGTCTTGGCCAATGTTCTATGTTACGTGCTTGAATATATGTCCTGTGGGACGATAATAAAAGCTACGAGAAAATGATAAAAAATGTCATGTGTTTTTTACAAAATTAATATAAAAATGATATAAAATAATAGTTTCAAATTTAAAAGTAAAAATATCGTATATATATAAAATGATTAATGATAACTATTCTTTCATTAAAGAGTTCGGTGCCTTGTGCAATGTCCGTTTGAATATTTGTTCTGTGTGACGATAATAGAAGCTATGAGAAAAATATAAAAATTGTCACGCGTTTTTATAAAATTAATAAAAATGATATCAAATAATGTGTGACAAATAATATAATAGAGAATACAAAACTCAATTAAAAAATATAGTTTAAAATTTAAAAGTAAAAATATATCTTATATAAAATGATTAATGATAACTATTCTTCCGTAAGAGTGTCCAATATTCTTTTATGCAAATATGTCAGACGAGCATTGATGTTCCTGCAACTTCTCGTCTTCAAACATTGAGTTATCGATCGATGAGGCAAACGTGGGAAATGAAAGTTAAATGACGCGCTAACTAATGTACATACTCGTGCGCCGGCTCTATAAAAAGATTTAGAATATATCATCATCGGAGAATTATATGCATTAAAATCGCCGGTATTTAACAAGCGCGAGCGCGTACGAATATTTCATCCCGTGATGCAACCGAAGCGTGACGCTTAACCCAATTACAAATTTTTCGGCACGCAAATTCTATCGATGAAGCATGATGAGGTCACCGACACATCGTATCGATCCAAAGCGGGTATCGATTATCAAGCGTCGAATGGTGTACGCGAGGATCACACACAGACGTGGGAAGTAAAAACTAAATCGCGCGCGAGAGAGCAAAACGTGCATCTCGCGTCTGTTGCAAAATTATTGCTGTAAATCATCACGCTAGAGTTGCATACATCGGCATTAGCGGAGGAAATCACTCTCAACATCGTGCACCACCGCCGCACGCATTCCGGAACCATAAGAAGCGAAACACGCGATGAGCACCTCGTTATTATCGTAATACATTTCTTCTTTCCTTCCTTTCTTCCTTCTCGCCTCTTTCTTCATTTTCTTTACATTACTTCTTGGCACTTGTATATAGGATTTTTCAAGTTTCAGATTTAATAAACTATAATATTTTTAATATTTTTTTATGAGCAAAAAGATAATTATTATATAAATTTCAAATGAGACTGACAGCGCGTTGCATGCAATAAATTTGTAAGAGCTTTCACAGAAATTGTATGAAATCATGAACATTCAGGTAAAATGGAAAAAAGTATTCATCAACTCAAGCAATCAATCCTTTCTTCCTTCTCGCCTCGTTCTTGATTTTCCTTACATACTTCTTGGCACTTGTATGTAGGATTTTTCAAGTTTCAGATTTAATAAAGTATATTTTTAACTTTTTTTATGACCGAAAAGATATATAATTATTATAAATTTCAAATGAGACCGACAGCACGTTGCATGTAATAAATTTGTAAGAGATTTCACAGAAATTGTATGAACATTCAGATAAAGTGGAAGAAAGTATTCGCATCAAATCAAGCAATCAATCCTTTCTTCCTTCTCGCCTCCTTCTTGATTTTCTTTACATACTTCTTAGCACTTGTATGTAGGATTTTTTAATTTTCAGGTTTAATCAAGTATAATATTTTTAACATTTTTTTATGAACGAAAAGATAATTATTATAAGTTTCAAATGAGACCGACAGCGCATTGCACGCAATAAATTTGTAAAAGATTTCACAGAAATCATGAACATTCAGATAAAATGAAAGACAGTATTCATCAAATCAAGCATTCACGTACTAAAAAAATTGCATTAATTTAAATATCATTATCGAATGCTGGATTCGCACCATTCCTACTGAGAGACGATCCCCATAAGATGCAAGACGGGATCTCCTATACCGTCCCGTTAAGGGAAAGATACACGGAAACCTTCTCGATCATAAGCAGACCTTAGGTTATACGGGTCACTGGGCCGTGCTAAGTGAACGACGATCAAATACCGTAAACGTGTGCGAGCGCGTGTATACGTGTTTGTGTGTGCATGTGTGTGCGAGACGAGAAGGTGAGTCAGGTGCGAGAACGTGCAAACGAAGCATTGGCACCATGAG